AATAAAACTCTGGTTATATAGTTTATTCTTCCGGCTGATTTCGTTTATTATTTTATTGCGAAATAAGGTCTCTAGATAAAATTTGTGTGCATAAGATTTTACAGTGGGGGATTTTCTCTGTCTTTTTATGTAAATTAAATCTGCATTGTTTCCTTTCTCCGATCGACAGAGAAGGTATATTTCCTATAATTCGAAATTTCTTCCTCATTTCAAGACCCAGTTGTTGACACAACTAATCGATATACTGTATATATTCGAAGTTTATCTGTTAATGATTATGTTGAGTATTTGACGCTGATCTTTGCTCCAAGTTGCAAAATACCACCACTCTATGAAATTTCTTTATTCCCCGAGGCTACAAAGCTGTGGGTTGTTACCCTATTCTGATTGGTTAAACTCAGTCGTATATGAACTCTAGATCTTTGATTATGGGCAATCCGATTATGATGCCTAAAACATGAGCCTCAAAAAACGAAAAAATGAAAATTTCTGTCGTTTTGTTCTTCCGAATGTTTATACACTTCTACTATACACTTCTACTATACACTTCTACTATACACTCCGGTGTAAAACTTTGAAGCCTTTTTGAGACCCCACCCCAAGCTATCCCAGGGGGACATTGAAACCCCACCCCAAGCTTTCTCAGGGGGACATGATTTGAACTGAACTAAGTGCTAACTCTATACAGAGGTATTTGCTTATATAAATATGACACGTTGGCTTTGTTCTTGAGAATAAGATTTTAATATTTGTCTTATGTATATTCATATGTAAAATTTTGCATCCTCTCTCGATACTCAACCATATCCCCCGAGGGATAGAGACTGGAATCAACTCAGATCTACTCTTTATGGGGATAGTGACATCTTCATACGATTTGTTATGGTGATGTTGATCCTGGCAATAAGAATCCACTCTTTATGGGGATAGTGACATCTTCATACGATTTGTTATGGTGATGTTGATCCTGACAATAAGAATCTACTCTTTATGGGGATAGTGACATCTTCATACGATTTGTTATGGTGATGTTGATCCTGGCAATAAGAATCTACTCTTTATGGGGATAGTGACATCTTCATACGATTTGTTATGGTGATGTTGATCCTGACAATAAGAATCTACTCTTTATGGGAATAGTGACATCTTCATACGATTTGTTATGGTGATGTTGATCCTGACAATAAGATTTTTTTTTACGTATCTCTTATTAAAGTTGATTATTTGTTGCGATTCTACCTTTGCCCTACATGATTTTATTAAAATTCAATATCTAATGGGGTGCGTGCATCATAGTGGGACCAACTGTGGACAAGATATTTTTCATAAGAATTTTTTAATATATAAGTCAAAAACTTGTCTTCCTATAGTGGCTCCTTGGTATCTCAAAGTAAGGAAGCTCGATCTCTCACAGAAGTCTCCTTACTCTCATCCAGTAATTCCGAAGTAATTTATAAAAGTACCTGACTCCATCTTCACTATGTCTTCACTATGTCGTAAATTATATCTCCTCTTAAAAAGTTCATCTACCTTCATTTACACAAGTGTGGATTTTCTTTACCTAACAGTGCTTTGTGGCATATTAACCAGTGGTTCTGGAGAAGTCGAAAATATCAAAAGTTAACATACAATAGGCAGACGACAGGCAGAGAGATAGAACCTCGATCAGAAAAGTTAACAGACGACATATAGAGAGATAGAACCTCGAACAGAAAAATTAACAGATAACAGGCAGGGGGACGGAACCTCGAACAGAAAAGTTAACATATAACAGGCAAGGAGATGGAGCCTCGAATAGAAAAGTTAACAGATGACAGGCAGAGAGATGGATCGAGCCTCGAACAGAAAAGCTTTATGGAGCTTTCAGCTCCTGTGAGCCTTAAAGTGTGCATCATATACATACACTGACGCCTTTTCGTTCAAGTGGGCATTACTATACGTTATCTACCAGATATTCCTCAGAAACACCCTCATACACTGATCGAACAGGTAACCGATCCCAGTGTACCTGCAAACACCCTCATACACTGATCGAACAGGTAACCGATCCCAGTGTACCTCCAAACACCCTCATACACTGATCGAACAGGTAACCGATCCCAGTGTACCTCCAAACACCCTCATACACTGATCGAACAGGTAACCGATCCCAGTGTACCTCCAAACACCATCATACACTGATCAGACAGGTAACCGATCCCAGTGTACCTCCAAACACCCTCATACACTGATCGAACAGGTAACCGATCCCAGTGTACCTCCAAACACCCTCATACACTGATCGAACAGGTAACCGATCCCAGTGTACCTCAAAACACCCTCATACACTGATCGAACAGGTAACCGATCCCAGTGTACCTCCCAAACACCCTCATACACAGATCGAACAGGTAATCGATCCCAGTGTACCTCCAAACACCCTCATACACTGATCAGACAGGTAACCGATCCCAGTGTAACCCCCAAACACCCTCATACACTGATCAGACAGGTAATCGATCCCAGTGTACCCCCCAAACACCCTCATACACTGATCAGACAGGTAACCGATCCCAGTGTACCTGCAAACACCCTCATACACTGATCAGACAGGTAAGCGATCCAAGTGTACCTCCCAAACACCGTCATACACTGATCGAACAGGTAACCGATCCCAGTGTACCTCCAAACACCCTCATACACTGATCAGACAGGTAACCGATCCCAGTGTACCTCCCAAACACCCTCATACACTGATCGAACAGGTAACCGATCCCAGTGTACCTCCCAAACCCCCTCATACACAGATCGAACAGGTAACCGATCCCAGTGTACCCCCCAAACACCCTCATACAATGATCAGACAGGTAGCCGATCCCAGTGTACCTGCAAACACCCTCATACACTGATCAGACAGGTAAGCGATCCAAGTGTACCTCCCAAACACCCTCATACACTGATCGAACAGGTAACCGATCCCAGTGTACCTCCAAACACCCTCATACACTGATCAGACAGGTAACCGATCCCAGTGTACCTCCCAAACACCCTCATACACTGATCGAACAGGTAACCGATCCCAGTGTACCTCCCAAACACCCTCATACACTGATCGAACAGGTGACCGATCCCAGTGTACCCCCTTAACACCCTCATACACTGATCAGACAGGTAACCGATCCCAGTGTACCTGCAAACACCCTCATACACTGATCAGACAGGTAACCGATCCCAGTGTACCTCCAAACACCCTCATACACTGATCGAACAGGTAACTGATCCCAGTGTACCTCCCAAACACCCTCATACACTGATCGAACAGGTAACCGATCCCAGTGTACCTCCAAACACCCTCATACACTGATCAGACAGGTAACCGATCCCAGTGTACCTCCCAAACACCCTCATACACTGATCGAACAGGTAACCGATCCCAGTGTACCTCCCAAACACCCTCATACACTGACCGAACATTTAAGCGATCCTAGTGTACCTCCCAAACACCCTCATACACTGATCGAACAGGTGACCGATCCCAGTGTACCCCCTTAACACCCTCATACACTGATCAGACAGGTAACCGATCCCAGTGTACCTGCAAACACCCTCATACACTGATCAGACAGGTAACCGATCCCAGTGTACCTCCAAACACCCTCATACACTGATCGAACAGGTAACTGATCCCAGTGTACCTCCCAAACACCCTCATACACAGATCGAACAGGTAACCGATCCCAGTGTACCTCCAAACACCATCATACACTGATCAGACAGGTAACCGATCCCAGTGTACCTCCCAAACACCATCATACACTGATCGAACAGGTAACCGATCCCAGTGTACCTCCCAAACACCTCATACACTGACCGAACATTTAAGCGATCCTAGTGTACCTCCCAAACACCCTCATACACTGATCGAACAGGTGACCGATCCCAGTGTACCCCCTTAACACCCTCATACACTGATCAGACAGGTAACCGATCCCAGTGTACCTGCAAACACCCTCATACACTGATCAGACAGGTAACCGATCCCAGTGTACCTCCAAACACCCTCATACACTGATCGAACAGGTAACTGATCCCAGTGTACCTCCCAAACACCCTCATACACAGATCGAACAGGTAACCGATCCCAGTGTACCTCCAAATACCATCATACACTGATCAGACAGGTAACCGATCCCAGTGTACCTCCCAAACACCATCATACACTGATCGAACAGGTAACCGATCCCAGTGTACCTCCCAAACACCTCATACACTGACCGAACATTTAAGCGATCCTAGTGTACCTCCCAAACACCCTCATACACTGATCGAACAGGTGACCGATCCCAGTGTACCCCCTTAACACCCTCATACACTGATCAGACAGGTAACCGATCCCAGTGTACCTGCAAACACCCTCATACACTGATCAGACAGGTAACCGATCCCAGTCTACCTCCAAACACCCTCATACACTGATCGAACAGGTAACCGATCCCAGTGTACCTCCAAACACCCTCATACACTGATCGAACAGGTAACCGATCCCAGTGTACCTCCCAAACACCCTCATACACTGATCGAACAGGTAACCGATCCCAGTGTACCTCCCAAACACCCTCATACACTGATCGAACAGGTAACCGATCCCAGTGTACCTCCCAAACACCCTCATACACTGATCGAACAGGTAACCGATCCCAGTGTACCTCCCAAACACCCTCATACACTGATCGAACAGGTAACCGATCCCAGTGTACCTCCCAAACACCCTCATACACTGACCGAACATTTAAGCGATCCTAGTGTACCTCCCAAACACCCTTATACACTGATTGAACAGGTAACCGATCCCAGTGTACCTCCCAAAACTGTCAAGAGACTATAAGGCCCTGCAATGCCACAATGACTGCAAATTTTAAGGACTCTTTACTTTGTTCAAGCTTAATTGGTTAATAATGCTGTCTGTTGCATACTTTATATACGTTAATGACTTCAATGCAAACTTGTTTTTACTAGTTTTAATTAAATACTGTTGAAATAATCAACATGATTATTACAAATAATTTTGCAGTCAAAAATACACAACTTCAACAGAATATCGTCCTGAAATTTGGCAGTACATGTATACCACGTATACAATGCAATAATATCAAACATCCCTATCAATATACATGTATTGCACCGATAGATACACGCAGACGCCCCGCTTTCACACAAGAACCTTAAAATTGAATAACGCAAGTCATTTTTGTGAATGATGGGCAGGTTGAGATAAATAAAATAAACGCGTATAATTAATTATTTGTTCGAAATCAGTTTATTACTATATCACTTTACCGTCTGCGCTTCACTGACATGAAATGCAAGAAGTACTTCCGGTTACTCGTTACCTCCTAACATTTTCATTCCGTATCTGAGTAACAGACCACCTTACTGTTGTTTTGCTCTACAACTTGACACTTAAGACTGAATAACAATTCCACAGTGGTGCGCACTTAAGTGGTAAAATTTTTCGTTTGAATGGAACGATTTGGTTTTTCTTACAGATCGTCAACTGTAATAATGACACACCCATTTCTTTTGAAACGAGAAAGCAATGTTAGTTGCAATTCTTTAAGCCACCCTACAACCTACTCTCTGTGATTAACAACACGAGTGAAATGGGGACTTTAAAAAGTTGGGAGAGAAAGTGAGAGACTTCTGTAACACTCATGTAATGCAACGAATATGTTCATAATTACATTTATGTTTCATGTTTATTGGTTATCACCACGTGTATGGATCGAACACGTGTTTACCTTGGAGTATTTATATACACTGCCAATCTGATTGGCTATTGTATTTTGGAATACCTATTCTACAAGTATTCAAATGAAGCATGTGAGAAAATTTACGACATTCACGGTCTCTCTCTCAGTGCAGACTGGCGTTTCTCCGACCTCTTGTCTCTACGCTAAACAGCTTTCTCCTTACTGAAGAAATGGGCGTGTCATTATGTAACAATCAACGTTAATAAAAAGCTCAAACATTCCTTTCAAACCTAAATTTTACCATCATTTTATCCTAAAGTCACTTTTTGTCGATGTCCATACATTTGTTAATGATGGAGACTGCGTCTGTCCTATTCATTTCCACTAGAATGTTTCTCAGTTCCTCTATAGTTTTGCCTTTGTCTCTCCAGATGTTTAGGAGCAGTTCTGTGGGACTATCACTCTGTTCTTCAATCCAGCGGATCTTATTAAATTTAAGTCCCATTTTTTCCGCCAGACCCCTCCAGTCATCATTGTTGTCGGAAACTGGGTCCAGACAGAGAACCAGTTTTCTGGTCATTTCACTCTGCTTCTCGTCAAACGGCGTCGGAAGAAGCTGTAACCATTCATATTATTTATTTACAGAAAATTTTAAGTTAGGAATAAAATTAATTTTTCCTGAGCATATCTCTAAATTTTATATATACAACACACAAACCTTTGGCAACTCGGCGGCGATTTGAATACAAGACTTCTTCGCCTCGTGCTTGATTTGATAGCATGTGTACGCCACCATTATCTTCGAGACCTCGTTGGACTGTGGCTTGTAGGCAAAGGCACAATTCGGATTGCAGGAATGCCATACTAATTCAAAATCCAATTCCTGTAAAATGGAGAAAATATTATTTAATTGCTGGAACACCTTTTTTGTCTTCTCAAAAAGCACAGAGAGGTTATTCCAGATTTCTGAAGCCTTGGAGATACTTTAACTTAGATAGACTAGGTACATTTGATTTATTCCCCATCAGCTTCCAGTCCTCTGGTTCCATTGCGTGATCCAACACCACATTTTCCCCATTGTCGTACACAAGCAGTGGAACCGGGCTGTCTACCGTCTTCCTGTTAACTTCGCTTTCTCTGCCTTTGATTTCCTATCAATAAATCCAGAAATGTTTGATAAACATGTGTACAAATGGTTTGTGAAATTACTAGCAGTCCCGCTGAGCAGGTAAAAAGAATATTATGTAGAATGAAATTGCAATATTGACCTTTATATCTCTACCATAATCGTTTATGCAGTAAAGTTTTGAAGTAAATAGGGAAGCTCTCTGTAGCACAGTAGAAAAGGCCACTATCTGAACAGATTTGGCAGCAACGCGGTTCTCTTGAGATGTTCCAATGAGTGTAAATAGGGTAAAGTGGCGAAGATGTATTGTTACTGAAGACCTCGTTAAGCGGCGTTCCTCGTAATCTTCAAGGGTGACGTCACTCCAAGCACTTTGTTGTGTTATATCACCAGTGCGCTTTATTATTTTCCACTTCCAGTTGGTTTCTATTTTATCTGCACAGTGAGGAAATGTAAGTTCTACCGGTTTCTTGAAAGACATTGACGGTTGACATACAACTAAAGGGCTTAAAAGAGCTTGCTCTTTTTTTAAATCTGGGAAAAGATTCTTTTCCCATGTTATTCCTAGGGTAACGATTGTTTTTTTCTCCAAAGCATCTTTTGGTATCTTGAGCGTCACCCCAGAGATTTTCATTTCACCTCCCTTCGTGTCTATTTCTTTATGTACGAACATCCCCGATTCGTGTTTAATTTCTTCACGACCAGACTCGGCTTTCACGAGGATGGACGTCGGTCGATCTTGAACATTTTTCTTGAAATACTTCTCGTATTCATTCATGAACTCGTCCGCGAGATTTGTACTTATTTTGATGTCATCAGGCGTAGTCTGTTCGTTTTTTGGGTTGTTTTCGGTAACCTGTGTTAAGTCCACGACTTGTGATGGAAGAAGAGGCCCTCTGTTTGGCGTTGTGGTCAAAGCGTGGATACTAGTCCGTGTAATGATACTGATCACATTATTCCTGTTACGAGTCGACGCCATATTCCTAAAAATACCATTATCACTCATGTTTAGAGAACCAAGGGTATTGTCCAGTTCGCTGACGTCAACGGCGCTGTCCGTCTGAGGTCTCTCGACTTTTGTTGATAAACCTCGCAATGGCGTGTCTTTTTCACATAAAGCTTTTTCGATATTTGATAATTTGTCATTCTGAAGTTTAAGTCTCCAAAGAAAATATAATGTCAGCAATATTATGGCAATAATAAGGAAAAGAACAAAGACTCCGAGAATGATTAATCCAATTATCTGTAAAATGAAAGTAAGAATGATTAACCCAATTATCTGTAAAATGAAAGTAAGGATGATAAACCCAATTATCTGTAAAAGAAAGTAAGAATGATTAACCCAATTATCTGTAAAATGAAAGTTAGAATGAGTAACCAAACTAGCTGTAAATTACAAAATTAATGAAAACAATAACTTGGTACATATTCTATTGTCGTAGCTAAATGAACAAATCTACTGGATATGAAGTGTACTTCAAACTTGCTTACATTAATTGACATTTACCTAGATGTTACAAGTTATGATTACGTTATATTTAGAGTACGAGTTTTCTATTGTTTGAGAGACACAGGACAGGGCTTTAGGCCAGAGCTGTAGCTCGAGCCGCGCCCGCTCTGTATCTCTCTTACAGTAGGAAACGAGTATTCTGAATGACTTGAGACACGACCTTTCCAATGACCTTACTTATTTACATGCTTATTTATGTATCATTTTTTTTAACCAATCAGATGAATCTGTCGCAAGTTGAAATGTTGACAAAATTGTTGCCAGTCACAGCTAAAATGGATGTGCAGGTTACAGATTAACAATTAAATCATAATTGCGTGATAATTTTAGCAATAATTGTATGTTTTCCTAAAATACTTTTCCCCTTATTTGTTAAGATATCGATTGTTTTTTTTTTCTTTTTTTTTAACGAATGCGTGGACCCAGGATTTTTTTTTAAGCGGGGAGGAGGGTTCACTCACTAAAAACAAAAATCAAACTTAGAACTGTTTTGACAAGCAAAATCAAAATCCTTACTATTTCGGGGGAGGTGGGGTGGACAAGTCGCTTTCTTACATACAAATAAACGACTCTCTTTACCATTTTATCAGGGGTTTACGGGGGGGGGGGGTCACCATTTCTTATTTTACTATTTGAAAACTCTAAAAATCCGGGGGGTCTGGACCCCCCATTCCCCGCTAGAGTCCTGTGTGATAACTAGTATTTAGTCGCATTTTTATAATTTAATCGATGAATTTAAAAAAAAAATGATTTCGAAGATATATTTAAAGCAAAAATATTTCGAAGAAAATGTATTTATTGATAATTAGAGGAATGTCCAACAATTTCATCCCTGTTTATCGATGACCTTCCTCGAAACCATTAAAGAGGGGGTTCAACACATATACATTTTACAATCGTGGTTTGAATCTTCCTGATGATTTTATGATAATCTTTTGTATGTACGAAAAAAATACATGAATGTGTATAAACGAATAATACCTGGTTTCCCAAAGCGAGAGGTGACATTTAGGTCACTCGGTTCACAGTTACAATCTTTGTAGATCTCATTTGCAGTTGAGGAAGAAATTTATTACGCATTGTTTTACGAAAGTTCTCTTCATTTAAAGCGTACATGTATTTTAATTTTTAATAACACGTTTACTTACATATTCCATGGTCTCCCTTGTCTGGATATAGAATGTGTCACTTCAACAGTTTTTCCCTACATCGTTTAGAGGACAAGGTGTTCCTGCGAAAAACTGCTGAAGATCAATAAATTAAAAAAAATTAGATACAAATTGTAGAGTGTTAAAGATGAAGTTTTCTGTTCAGGAATAAATATCTTGATAAAACTTGATAAAATACAAGATTGGGTAAACAAGTTTTACTTTGTAAACGATGTCTACATACAAGCGAGGGCAACCAAGGAATGGAGGGGAGAGGTCACTAAAATTATGCTGAGGCAGCGCCCACTACAAGATGTACAAAAATGTATAAATTGGGCAAAAGTTGCCACGGTTTGACGAGCAATTTACTGAATATTTTTACTAATTTCAGTATGTTAAACTTGTTCTATACGTATTTTCTTTTGTGACAGTCGTTGCGACTGTTGAGAATTTCTAAACAGAGAATAAGCAATAATATGAAAAAAGAAATTCACGCTTTTATCAAATTACCTTGGGTGAGCCCGTAAACTCCATTCTTCATTTATATCTATATACAAGGCCGAACAATGTGGGATTCAAGGGAGGGACCCTTCCACTTTTCGGATGAAAATTTTATCACATGCAGCGTTCCAATGAAAGCAGGCTGCTTATGTAAAACATTTTGCCCCGGGAACTCTGACTAAACTACACCTCTGACTTCTGTTACTCCCAACACAAGGACTCTATACTTACTGTATATATATATATATATATATATATATATATATATATATATATATATATATATATATATATATGCAATACAGATTTTGTCTTCGACGATATTAACTTCCAGGGGTATTATTTTTTTTAAAGAAATAACATACAGTAATCGGAACTCTCAGTATTTAGTGTGGACGTCTAGTATTATGTATGATTGGTTAAAATTAATGTTCTTAATATCTTTCCATTACATTGATAAGTGATAAAACATCAAACCATTAACTGTACGTACCTGAATTTGAAACCAATTATAATTCAGTGGTATTTTTTACTTATGAATGTATACAGACACCTCCTAATCATGTACACGTATGGAAATCTGTCGACCTTTTGTTAGTCATAATTCTCTTTCTTTACTTCCGGGTGCGGACAGAATATTTATCCTACGGGTATCGACACCTGAACAGGTAAATATACAGGTGCTCATTGAAGCGGAAACTCCAAAGCTAGAGGATATTAGGAAGTTAGCTTGGTTTTAAGAACCCTCTATACACTGAACACTAAAGAGTTCCAATTCTGTCGTATTTTTATGCAGTTAGAGTAATCAGTCCTTAGATCTAAAGTACTAAAATAAATTGAAACAATTCAAGCATTCTTAACATTTAGTATGCCAACAGAAATTAATTTAACACTTTATTTGCATGTATTTCCCCACTTAAGTAAACAACAATGATTTTCGTTTCTAGTTAACTTATAAATACTTTGAACATTTTTCCTTGGGGCAAATGCCCTATGTTGAAAATGAAATTTTATGATAAGTTCAATACTTACACCTTTGTACAATATAATTTTCTCGATGTCCAAAAAATATTTTGCTGTAGTATATAGAGGGTCCTTTAGTAACGACTACCCTCTCTTTTTTGGATGAGTGAAAAAAAATATTGCTATCTAAAAGTCTTTATATTTTAAGTTTAGGTATTTGAGTACACTGGGATTATGTTCTAAATAACTGAATTTGGACGCGTCCTCATGGAGTTTGTAGATGATTGCAATTACTAATTAGTGGCAACATCGGGATTAAAAGTTAAACATATAGATAGTCTGCCCTATGTTGAAAATGAAATTTTATGATAAGTTCAATACTTACACCTTTGTACAATATAATTTTCTCGATGTCCAAAAAATATTTTGCTGTAGTATATAGAGGGTCCTTTAGTAACGACTACCCTCTCTTTTTTGGATGAGTGAAAAAAAATATTGCTATCTAAAAGTCTTTATATTTTAAGTTTAGGTATTTGAGTACACTGGGATTATGTTCTAAATAACTGAATTTGGACGCGTCCTCATGGAGTTTGTAGATGATTGCAATTACTAATTAGTGGCAACATCGGGATTAAAAGTTAAACATATAGATAGTCTGCAAGGTCAATCTTACTTCAAATTCTATAAGGAAATCTAAATATTGTTAATTGATAAAACGTAGTCGATGTAGCTATAAATGTCGAAAGGCCATAACAAGAGACTTTTTCTTTTCATGTATAAGTTTTTTTGAATACGTTCTGCTTTATATGAATACAACAATAGGTTTGCTAATAACGGGAAGCAATTATCACTCATGGGAAATTCAACTTGTATGTACAACATTATTTTAAGAAAATAATTTTGCAAATGACTAGTGACGAGGTATGTATATTTTCGAGTTTAGGCTTTGACGTTAATTTATCGTGGGATATACTTGTATAAAGTGGTTTTGGTGTTATTGATTTTGGTAAAATTTTGTGATTTCAAATTTTCTGAAAGTTCCTTGAAGCTTTTTTTAAAAGTTTCCACATCTGATTTACACCACTTCTCGAATATATTGTTATACAGTATTCCTAGGCCTGAAGTTTCTTCTTCACTACTGTTAATATCTCAGTGAGGAGTAAATTAGAATCTCTACTGGAACCCGCTATATTTATCTTTGTTTGTAAGGATTTTTATGCAGTTTAGAAATGCAGTATAGGTATGGTAATTCAAATTCAATTTAACTGTTGGGAATATTAAAAATATTAAACACTGATACATAAGTTTGAAGAGTTCCCACTTAGAAAGGGCACTATAAATTGAATTACAATTTGCAGAATTAGATCCTAGTTCCTCTAAAATACAATTCAAATAATGAGCCTTACAAACAAAGACAATGTTATTACCTGCTTTGTCAGCTGGGACCAGTACATACTGATCGCGCATGTATTCTATCCAATTCTTTTTTTCTTCTGAATTATGATAGATGGTCTTCATATTGACCCTCAGCCGCTTAATACGAGATTTCAACATCCATCTGATACTTTTAATCCACTCTGACAAAGTGTAGAGTTCTTTCTCATGTTTGGCCCATCGCCTGGCGTAATCTTTCATAGACTTGCGATTTATGAAATTTTGACGCTAGTTGAAAGAACGGTGTTCTCTAAAATTTTGACCCTTTTAAAATATCCTCAATATGAACTATACTTACGTCACCAGTAATGACGTGTCCAGGAGGACTATAGTTGTAAAGTGAAGTAGAACATGATCACGTATGACGATTATGTTTCAGATCGATATTCGATATTTAGGCACTGTAGATTTTTGTTTTGTTTTGTTTTGTTTCTGTTGTTTTTTTTGTAATTGAAAAGTTTGGAAGGAAAACTCGATAAATAATTGTAAGGAATCATGTCCTGGTTTTGTTTTTTCAGACACAACAGTTAATTATAAGCAGCAAGGATATGTTTTTAAGTAATTAAATTTTGAAAGCATTGTTGTTCTAAAATATATTCAGTGAATTCAGGTGCATAAAACATATTGTATGCCTTATCGAAATAGAAAAGATTTGCGGTACAGTAAAAAATAAATCACATATTCAAAAATGAGTTATCGCACGTAGTACGGGACCGAGATTTTACAAATGTCTTTTTTTTCATATCCTTTTTTTCACCAAGAGTGTTATATTAAGGTTGCCCCTTTGATAGGAGAGATAACTCTGGTTCACCCTGTGATAGGAGAGATAACTCTGATTCACCCTGTGATAGGAGAGATAACTCTCACTGGGTTATATGATTATTTCTTCATAGAAGGCCATTTCTGACAAACTAGATGAAATCCCGCGCAAGCGCGGGGAATTGAATTTATACCACTCCCGACAGAAATATTCCAGTAATATCTTTTGTAGCTTCTACTGACAGCCTATAGGTTTATAGCAGGAAGAAATACTTAAAATTGTTCAAAATCCCGCATTGAGCTTTGGAGCAGAAGTGGATGAACGTCACAACCCCCACCCCTTTGTAAAAACTTGAAAAATAACAATTTCATTAACTGACGTTTATTGTGAAACCTGTTATATACTATGTTATGGATATTATACTTTAGGTGTTCTTATTTAAATTTTGTCAAGGATAAAAGCAGCGAATATGCACATTTTAAAGATAAATTGATTTATTTTAAAACATGAACTTTTAACGCCCTATGAATAGGCGAGTAATTGATACAAAAGACTGTATTCAGAAGAAAAAAAATGAAATGTATTGATTAACGCACAAAAAATTAACAGCTTTAATTGTATTTGAACAATACGTTATACATTAATTTTCTCTTTTCATGTAAACAAAATTTATTACGAAGTACAAATTGTACTTCGGGTTCGTTGCCACTAAGCTCTCAGTGAGGAATATTCAAAGGATGACTGCACTTAACGCCGGGTTTTGGGTCTTTTTCGGTCGCTTCTGTTGCTTTTATATCATAATCTTATTTCATTTTTATATATTTATGAAAGAATCCTATCAATTTCGAGCCGAATTCAAATATTAAAATGATCTTAGACTATGATACAATAAAATGATTCTATGTTTTCTGTCCTTACTCTTTCCAAATATAGAGAATTTACACTTACTGCCCTTGATTAAACATTAGGTATGCATGAGAGGTGGAGCTAATATTGTAAGAATGGGTCTAAAATTACACTTGATAAATAACAATGACATGTATTAAATAAATACGAGATCACTCTTTCCCGTTCCCTCTTTATTCTGTATGGCACAAGTACACTATTTTCAGAGGTTTCAAAAACGAAATTAACAATATGAGCGACGTCCATGTAAGTAAAGAATCTTTTAAACCAATGCCTAACAATTTAACGTGTTCGAGCACTTTGTCCTAGTTAGCACAAAACATGCTACTTTACAAGTCACGTGACGGAATTTAGTATTCACAGAGTTACCTGAGGTAAGAAATCACGTGGTGAATTATAATATTCAACATGTCACAGCCCTTGGTCACAATAGAGAGAGCGAATGTAAGAAGAAGCAGTTTTTTTCTCGTTTAAACCATGAGTGCATGTTTGTCTATTAATCTCCTTTTGACACAACATTGTTAATGCAAATATACAACTACTGTTAAACGGAGAACAATAGACAAACATGCGCTGACTATGTATAAAGTCAGTGAAAAAGTGGGCGTCCTCATTATCGTACGGAGATTCAAGGAATTGTGATGACCCCCGCCTTAAAAACAGCTTCGTACTTCGTAAATACGTACTTTTATTTAATGTAATTACATAAAGTTGTAGATTAGATGTTGACCATTCGTGCAATTAAAAGAAAAATGCTTGTTTTTGAAAGTTTATTTTGTCGCAATTTTCGCATGTCCTTAAGTGCAGTCATCCTTTTACCGATAAATCTATTAGGAAAACCTGCTAATAGTCTTTCGATATATAAATATGCTCGCAATTTATAGTTTTGTGAATGATTTGCTATCATTTCAATGACCATTCACACAAAAGTTTTTTTTTTATGTCACGCAGCTACATATTTAATTGCCTCGTTTTTCTTTTTAACATCGGGCTCGATGCTATATGATGTTCAAGAAGTTTCCGTCAATATTAGGATCGGTGAATGACAAAAATAATTTGCGCATTTTCCTTTTAAATCGGTTATCACAACTTATTTCTTTTATATCATTTAAATCAAGTTTTGATTGAATAATTCAGTGATGACGTTTTATGCAATAAATAAACGATTGCTTGTTGTCAGCTTCATTAAAAATTGCCAGTAACTTAGATCCGCCAACCGGAACCGCCACCCTACTCACGTTTTTGCTATTTCATGGCTGTTTATAGCAAATGAAAGTAGACTTTTAATTTAATGTACGATACTTACTATGCGAATGAAATCTGAATATAGTTTACGGACATCGTCTTGTATCTAGTGTATTCATAGAGGAGTTAGAAGAACTCTGGTGCACCCGTTTCGGAGTTTCTTTGCAACATTTATTAAATTTATAGGTATAGATCTTGCACAGCAAGGTACGCCAAAACTGTGAGCATTTTAATTATTTAAAAAATTCTTTTGGAAAACTATAGAAAAGCAAAATTTTAAATGAGTGATCAGATGGAGGAAACCTTAAAATATACATGTGGTATCAGAGAGTCGAAAAATAGAAACGTGCTTTCAATGCAGAACACATAATAAATTTAAAGAAAACATTTCAAAAAAAATTATAATGATGCATTCAGAATCACAAATATATACCTAAATCATCATGACTATCATTCGTGGGGATATAGAGTCTTACTGTTATGAGCAAGATTGAAGATAACCAGTTATACTGAACCATCGATCTGGAAAGGGAGGGGGATTAAAGGGGTTAGGATTTGACACATAAGACATAATTTGAAATACTTACATTATTTGTTTCATTATATTAGTCATTTTGATTGTAGAACAATTGTAGTACAGGACAATTTGTTGTTGAAACTGAATTTGGAATTATTAAGATAAAATTATATAAAACTTATAAAGTCATACACTTTAATGCCCAGGAAAAAGGAACAGGTATAACCGCTATTGTTGTTGTCCATGTTATTTCACTGCTTCCTCTGATAGATCCGCCCCCTCACTTCCTCCGTGTATCACTGTCTGTGAGGGATACCGGGGTGGTGGTAAGGGACGCCGGACCGAGAGGGGCTGACGTCAACACAGGTACACCGGATCTCGTGGAAACCGGTGGCTTTATTGACATAACACTGCTAATCCCCTGCACACGGAAACTCTCTGGTCCTTTCTTTGGTGAATCCCCTTGGAAAATTTTACCGATGTCAACCATTTTAGGAGTACGCGTGTAAGTAGCAGTTTTGTTTTGCACTCCGACAAACTTGACCCTTTTCGTTGTATCTGAACTGATTGGGGACTCCATCACTATACGAACATTGTTTTTCCTCTTTGCACGATCACTGTATCCAATGACGTTCCCCATCCATGCATATCGAGAGTATCTACAAATAATTTTATACTGTGATGATTAAAAAAAAAACAAATTCTGTCTTCGAGTACACCTCAAATATTTAAATGGATTCTGTTTTTGTCCCTCGTTCATTGAATATATCTATTTTCTCAAACATGAAAGACATTTATACAGACTAGACTATATTCAATATATTTAGTGTTTATTCGTGCTCGCCAATTCATGTTTCCGGTATATTTACTTTTATATAACATTTAGAGTTTGAGTCCGAATAAAAAGATCTAGACTTTTAAATCAATAAATAGATAATGATTGAAAGCAACCAGAGAACCAGATATATTTATTTTAAAACGGATAGCCTCACAGAGTAGAAGAATTGAATAGCTTTTCATTACCTTAGAGTGACATCCCTGGGGAGACCATTGTGACGTCACTGCATTGTGCTTAAATATCAGAAGACATCGCTTCCCCAGAAATCAAAGTGATCTTTCTTGTTTTGGGGGTGGACTTTTTTCTTTTCTTCTTGTGTTTTGGCAATATTGTCCTCACTGTTTTGTTCGCTAGGTGCAATCACTGAATTGGAGATTTTTCTCTGTCTAGAATTATTTTTTTTGGTCTCTGCACACTTACCGTCCGTTTCCTTACTTGGATTTGTGGAATCCTTTAATTCTTCATCGAAGACTCGAGCGTTTATCTTCGTTTCAGTTAAATATTTGTCCGTCGGAAGCAACAACGATGGTTTACGATCAGGTGGCTTTCTCTGAAGTCCACGCTGGTAATCAAAGTCGTCAGTGAGGTTTAAATCCTCGTCGTTTTTACTTTGACTTAGTTTTTCATCCTTTTTGTCATCTTCAGTAGGTTCTGTTGTTATTTCTGATTTCTTACTGGTGGATGACCCCATTCCGGTACACGAGCAGCTGAAGTTATGTTATATACAGTACTTCCTGACAGAAGGCATCCTAAATTACCTACATGTGTGTACCAAGTTTTTCTTTATATTTACGATGAATAGCGTTCTGCCAAAGACTTGAAAATTTAAATTGATCTTTAAATTTTTATTACACCTGCGTTTTTCGTCTTTATATTCAGGCAAACAACCATGGAGTCTGATTATTTCCAGTGTATGTGGAGAATAAGTGAAACGGAATGCTTCTATAATTAGCTATTCCTCAATCAAAGAATTAATTCAATATACTAAACGGATTTTTTTTTCTTACTTGTAACCTTTTACAAACTTTTCTATGTATAACAAATATGAACACCGTTGGAAATCCGGTTGTCAAAATATTGCTCTTACTACCTTTGTCTACAAAGGAGCATGTATATATTGGAAACGCGCAGGAAGATAGATATTCTAGTACCATTAAAATTGAATTTAAAAAGTTCGCTTTAAATATTTTGAATTTTATCAAACATCGCTATAAAATTAGCCTTATCGGCATGACATTTTTTTAACCAAGTAAATTGAAATTTCCAGCTATTAGTTAGATTGCGAAGAAAAGATGTTCTTTGTGTAGAATTTGCTTTCAGTCAATTTTGTTTATCTGTTGCCTAGCTTTAGCTCTGATGAAACTGTTCTATTATTATCTTCACATAAAATGTCAGATTTTGGGGATTGACCTTGATATCCACAGCTGTTGTGAGAGACCTTTAGCTTTGCACTTAACTAAATCTTTTGATACACACACACACACACACATATGTGTGTTTGTAAGACCCTGATACTCACTACACGTACTAAGTAACACACCAGCAAGTCACTACATTTTGAAGAGTCACCACTTACACTCATGTAGTGAGTTTTCTAAAGTGTTGAAAACGGAATTTCGCACCGTATATTACCCAGAAAATACAAAATTGTTCATAGTGTGAGTTTCCGGTCTGAACGTGATTTTTTCCACACACATTTTCATGCTGCACCATGGCGTTTACACACTTTCCTCTGATGGATTTTTTGCGCATGCGCACGAGTAACTTCCGTGAAAATGGACATCAACAGTAAAAGTAAGTTATTAACAACATATTTTGACAATTTTTACATAGTACAAAATCCGAATTAACTGTTTTTGACATGTTTTATTATTATTTAGTCGCTTAAAGACCAGAGTACTGATAAAAAAATTATAACATGATTTTAACAGATTATTCTGTTAGAAATGACATTCAGTTAAGGATGTGAATAAAGTTGCACTTCTTCTAAGGATATTTTCTCTATTAATTGAAATAATTAACTTTAAAATAACGTACCGTGTTTAATGAAATTATTATTTTAAACTTTAAAATCAGTTTTATATGTTACATAACATTTATTAATATTGACTGAATTTCCTCGAAACTCCGACATTTTAAAGTAGTTTGTCAAAGGCAATGCGATTGCAAACAGATAAATTAATAAATTATAGGCCCTAAGTTTGTTTTTTGTGCACTTAACATTAGGGTATTGAAAAAAAGTCATTGTGAGTTACTGGTTGTAAAAGTAGAATGAGGGATAATCCGAATTTCCTGATCAAGAATGATAAAATTGGACTTACCTTTTTTAAAAAAAAATTGTTTAGTAAATAAACATATGTAAATTATTTTAGTTAAAACAAGTGAATTTGTTTTAGTGTTCTTTTATCCGTTTGTTTGGTTTTTTTTTTTTTTTTTTTTTTTTTTTTTTAGTGTTTTTTATCTGTTTTAAACAATTCATTTTAAATAATGTTGCCTTATCTAATGAGATTATTTCATCATCTCTAATGAAATTATTTCATCATATAATCTCACATTTTATATACCAGTAATTTGACTTTACCAGAACTTCCTGAAAGTTAAGTTTATTTGAAAGAATGAGTTTGATACAATTGCAAAATATTCAAGAGAAAAAATAAAATTCTTTCATATTTGCTTAATATTAAAGAACAAGTAATTAAAATAATTGTTTGCTTATTTACCATCCCTTTGAAATTTTTTCTCTCGTACTGAGATGCCACCACTTGCCAATGGAGGGCCAAAAATTTAGACCTGTGCACCCATAAGCAATTATGGATCTTTTTCATGCCATCGCATACTATGAAACAGAAGCTCGGTATATACTGTCATCCAAAGGACCTGTCCCCATGTCCCGCAATGAGATTCGAATCCGCAATGTAAGCTGCGACTCCAGAGCAAATGCCATAACCACTGCGTATAGTATTAGTAATTAAAAAAGATAAATGTGAGTTAAATGGAAAGAATTTTCAAGCTTTCTTTATGCAAAAGGACGGGAGCAAAATAAATCAACATTTTTAGACTAACATTTTGGTTGGCTTTCAGTTTTCAGATTATTTCTGCTGCTGTAGGGTCAGTGCTGAGTTTTAGTAACTGAGATTCTTTAAATGTGATCATATTTACATGTAAAATTTGTTGAATCAATTTCATTTTCATTTATTAATTTTTTCCCTTATCTATTCATTCATTTTGCAATTCAATTGAATAGTTTTAATTTTATGACCAATAATGTGTTTTTCTATTTTTAACCTAATTCTTATCAATTAATTTTTCATTTGAACTGCCACCAGACAGGTTGTAACACTCCAGTTTTACAATGTTGTAAAAACTGAGCAAACTTGACTTAAACATGAGGTCTATTTGTTAAAATCTGTTAACCTTTACATGATTTAATATATTAATAACTACAGTAATGGTTGAGATTCAGTATCCCAAACACTGCTATCTAGAATACCATGGATATGTCGGAGTGATTTTGTGGTCCAACCATATATTATTTAAGTATATTATACTTTCATGTAACTTTGTTGAATCTGATTTGTCGAGAAACATTTATTAAAAAACACTATTACCCACTGAATGATGAAGTCATGCCCTCCGGCATAGGAACAGTCAACAATGCTTGATGACGGGTGATATTCCAAAAATAGTGACTGCGCAGAATTTATGCACGCAAGGTTCACTTTTATATGTATTCGCATAAAACATTCAGCATAATATAATAAATATTGCATGTAGTTGAGTGTAACATTGAAAATTTTCACCCCAAGAAAACCATTGTCAACCAAGGCTGCGCCTCGGTTGACAATGGTTTTCTTGGGGTGAAAATTTTCAATGTTACACTCAACTTCATGCAATATTTATATAATTTAACCCTCGATATCCTGAATCCTTGGGAATCTTGAAGTTCTTTCTCAGTAATATAAAGTTTGAGATTGTATTATATAAATACTGCATGTAGTTGAGTGTAACCATGGTAACATTGAAAATTTTCAGCCTTAGAAAACCATTGTCAACTGATGCACAGCCGAGGTTGACAATGGTTTTCTTGGGGTGAAAATTTTCAATGTTACCCTCAACTGCAACTACATGAAGTATTTTTTACATCATACTGAATGTTTTATACAAATACACATTACAGTGAGTCGCCCGCGTGGCGCAGTGGTTAGAGCGTCTGCTCTAGAGTCGCGAAGTAAGGAGTTGATCCTTACGTCGCGGGTTCGAATCCCACTGTGGGACATGGAGAGCGGTCCTTCGGATGAGACCGTATAAACCGAGGTCCTGTGTCGCAGTAGGTGCTGGCACAAAAAAGATCCCTCACTGCTCAATGGCCGTAAGTGCCGAGTATAGGACAAAATTTGCAGCTCTCCACCGGCAAGTGGTGGCGTCTCCATATGAGTGAAAAATTCTCGAGAGGGACGTTAAACAACATACAAACAAACAAACACATTACAGTGAACCTTGCGCGCATAAATTCTGCAGAGTCAATATTTTTTTGGAATATCACCTGTAGTCAAGCAATGTCGACTGTTGCTATCCTGGAGGGTGTGGCTTCATTATTCAGCGGGTAATAGTGTTTTTAACAAATGTTTCTTGACGAATCAGATTCAACTAATTTAAATGAAAGTATAATATTAAAAATTATGACTTAGTCGGCCTAAAAATTAATCTATCTAAGAGTACTACAATAAGTAAATGTTTGGGTTTTTTAATACATATAATACAATACAGAACAATGTGTTTGGATATAGCAAAGAGACAATCTCATTTATGTAATATGTTGTAAAAATGACAATTTTAAAAAAAATATCTTGGAAGGGGGGGGGGGGGGGTCCTGAATCTGCCACTGTTAATGTACCTGAAAGTGGTCAATAAATCACAACTTACTTAGGGAAGTCATTGATTACTAGTCTGATAATTAGTATGGGTTAGGAATTAACAAGACATATAGTATAGATTGAAATAGTAATACCTGCTTAACTGGGTTAGCAAAATAACAATGAAACTCCAAAAATTTTAAATACAGTCAAACCTTGATATCTGAGGATTCAAAATATCCAGGGCAAAACACCCAAAGAATAAGGGTTTGGGACTCCAAAATCCCTTCAACATATATCCATGATATTCAATATATCAGTGTCATGGATACTGAAGTTCAACTTAAGTAATTATTACTTGAAAACTTGATATGTTTATATACATATACACTATGCATATATGCATATGCACTATATGTTTGCACTATATATATACACAAACTAATTCTCATTAATTAGGAAACAGCAATATGTTGTTATACAGATATCATGATTTATCGAGTTTGGTGATGCATTGAATTCGCACATTTTAGGGTAAATAAAATGTACAGAGCTACAGTTTATTAGACTTTTTAATAAGATTTCTTGTCGCCTGCATGACGCAGTGGTTAGGGTGTCTGCTCTAGAGTCGCGGAGTAAGGAGTTGATCCTTACGTCGCAGGTTCGAATCCCACTGCGGGTCGTGGAGACTGGTCCTTCGGATGAGACTGTATAAACTGAGGTCCCTTGTCACAGTTAGTGCTGGCTCAAAAAATATCCCTCACTCGCCCTGAGTGCTGAATATAGGTCAACATTTGTAGCCTTACACCAGCAAGTGGTAGCATCTCTATATGAATGAAAAATTCTCAAGAGCAGGGCTCTCGATTCCCTATAATTGGGGCCGTTTAAAGGCCCCATTACCAATTCAAAAAAGGTACCTTTTATCCCAATTAAATGTTTTAATTTTCACAATTGGTCACTTCCCCAAATATTAAAGAACATTTAGTAAAATATGTAGTTCCTAAACTTGTTACTCATATTTCTCTGTATTACAAAACAGAAATTTAGTTGATAACAACCACCAGAAACTCAATACAGTGAAACCTGTCTAATCCGACATGCACTGGGAGACGAATTTTGTGTCGGAATAGACAGTGTGTCGGATTGCACAGTGTAAAAAAACATTGAATATAGTAAAATGGGAACAAAATCTTAGGTCGGAATTCACAGTGTGACGGATTGGACAGGTGTCGGATTAGACAGTTTTCACTGTATATAATGAATTTAATGGATATTGTCTAGTTATGATTTTCCCAAATTTCCTGAAAAGGTCGCTAATTTTCCCAATTTTCACTGCCCCGGCCCCAGTCCCAAAAACTGGTGTGAGAGCCCTGCAAGAGGGACATTAAACAACAAACAATCAATCGATCAACAAGATTTATTAACTGGAATGAAATCTATAAGACATCAGGCCTAAGGAAAAAAACATGCTTGTATACATGTACCATTACTTGCTAATAAATAATAGGGTTGATAGGTAAGATTTTGTTTTTATTTTGTTTAAACTTTTTTTATAAAGGCATAAACATTGCAATTCATTTTTTTTAATAACAATTTGAAATTTTTGCAGAAAGATTGGAAATGACAAGGGTTAAAAACATGAAGAATGCTGAAAAAAAGATTTTAGGGAGTGCCAACTCACTTCGACATACATGTATCCCTGGTATTTGAGATATCAGTATTCTAGATAACAACCTTCATTAAAAGAAATTAAAATCTATAACAGGATATGAATGCCTTACCCAGGATAAATTTTGATGAAACAAGGAAAAAAGTATCAGGCTTCTATGGTTCAAAATCAGAGTAAAGGAGGAATGATGAGGTCAAGGTCAAAGGAAACTTTATAAAGGTTTGAAATATTATGACACAGTTGAATAACTCTCACCAATTTTGTGTTATTGTACATTTGATAGAAATATTATGAATACTTTCCTTAAAAAAAGAGCTGTAACTAAAATAAATAGTAAGATTAATGATTAACAAAAGGAACAGGTCATAATTTGGACACAGTTGAAATGTTATCACCAATATGTGTCAGTGGAAGTGCATAGATAAAAATAAATGAAAAGATTTTTATAAGACTAAGCTACAAAATAAGGAATAGCGAGGTCAAAGGGAAGATCAAGATAAAAAAAACTGACATAGTTTATCAGTTCTCAGATATGTGTATAAATAAAAATATCTTCAATAATTTCTTTGAAATTGAACTAAATGCAGATTGAAATAGTTGGGTCAATATCATAGGGGTCACAATAAAAATTTCAGGACACATTTGAATACTTCTTACCAACATGTGATAGTACACTGTATGTGTATTTGGATTAAAAAATTCTTGAACAGTTCCTTTAAAACTGAACAAAATGCAAAATAAAAGCTAAGTCAAGGTAAAAAAAAAATGGACACATTTGAATAGTTCTTACAATATATCATTGTGTGAATTTAGATAAAGATATCTTGAATACTAAGTATTTCCTTTGAAAATCAGCTGAATGTTAAATTCAAGTGTAGTAAAGTCAATATAATAGGGAAAGTCTGACTTTCAGAGGATTGTTGGAAACATGCATTAAATAATAATTATTTCTGATTTAATTGTAATATTATTTTTTTTAGTTTTGAGGGTAGGGGAATCATATTCAACATTTTCTATCATATTGTCAATTTCTATCAGAGCCTTCCTATTTGTGGATTTTTTATGCACTGTACAGCAAATACCTGACCATCCTTAGATTTATTTACAACTTTTATGAGCCTATATAGCAGGCAACACACATGTTTTTTCTTGGAACACTTTAGATAAACATACATATGTAAAAGTAAATATTTTTTGGAAAGAATTTTCAGCATTAATTTAAAATGTCATGAACCACAGAAAGCATACAAAATAATGCAACATCCGCTTAATAAGTATATTTGGCTTCGTATTCTTAATTACTAGGATAATTTGAATTGCAATATCAATTACATTCAAGTTTCCACAAATTTATAGTCCATGAATAAGAGACTAGGCAATATTATTCACCAGAGTGGGACCAGTGCATAAACATAGATTTATAAAGTCTTAAATAAATTGGTCCCATACCTTCCACTGCAGTGAAAGAATATATTTCCCGTTCTCATTTTGTATGAAAATTAAATCAAAGTAAATTAAAGTTCATAAATACGCCTGTACATATATACAATATAATATGACCTTTAAATTTCTCCTTCATCAGCCATGTTGAGGCTGTGGTATAGATGGCTACTACTTGAAGGGTACAAACTCCATTCAGTTGCAAAATATTTGGTGATTTCCTTTTCTAAATGAAATATTTGGGAATTTTAAATGTGCATGATTTTGGATATCATGCAACCTGAAAATGTTTGAAAGTTGTATAAAATCTTACTTGACCATGACATTTTTTATTTCTAAGGAAATATGACATGGATTGTTTTTCTTGTAATTCTAGCAGGGATATATCCACTGCAATTCAATCAAGGGTGTAAAGAGATTTTCCTCTGGTAAATTGTATTCTATACATCCTCAGAGGCTGAAGCAGCAAGCTAACTTGTAATACAAGATTTGATTGTATAGCAAGCCAGCTGGTGTAATTTAGTATGTACTATGTACAGCTTGAGCCGAAGGTTAAATATTGAGATGTCACAAGGCATAGTTAAAAAGCACTGGGGCCTTCTGCACACAATTATGGAATACAACACAGAGTAAATCCCCTACACCCTTGATTCAGCCTCAAGGTGTATGGAATACAATCCAGGGTAAATCCCTGTACACTCTTGACTAAAAGTATATTATATGCTTCTAATATACTGTCTAAATCTTAAATGTAGCATACTTTCTAAATCTAAATTGATTAATTAATTTCCTGATAATTTGATTAAATTGATTAATTTGACAGTTTTGCACTGAAGGCCAGATCTAAATTGCCCAAAAACTAGGAGGAACCTGTGATTTGAGGGTTTATTTCATGGTTTTGAATTACTATTCATGAGTCTTTTCTCATTTCATAATAAAATCAGGGACCTTTACTAGGAGGGGGTTCGGGGGGGGGGGGGGCGCCAACTCCCCTTTTATAACCAAAATTATTCGTATAAAGATGAAGAAATTTTATTTTGTTGTTGCTAAATATTGCATTTATAATTTGTGTCCCAGGCCCTTAATCTTTAGACACCCTTCTGGATCCGCCACTGCCCTACAGTTACTGAGTTATATCAGGTCCCTGGTTATATAAATTATGTATGTAGGGTCTTTTGTTGTTAAAATGACTTGTCCCACCCTAAAATGGCCAAAATAAGTACCTTTGCCATCATACTTTGCAACTGTCCCACTCTAAAAGTCATAAATATTGCCTGCATATTACAAGATTTTCATTTTTCAGAAATGTGCTGGTTACCGGAAGTTCACAAGAACCAGTTAAGCGAAGGTAACACCCTACAACATGAACATGAACTGATCACTGAGACTGCATTGCGTATGAAAGACAGTTTTGTAAGTATTTGTAAGCTTTAAAGTATAAAAATCTTCTCTTGTTACTTTTGAAGATGGAAATTTAGAAGATGCTTGAAGTTCATCGTATGTACTGTGAACTTTGGAAAGTTGTCACTTAATTGAGAAAATTCGAACTAGGTCAGTTGTATCATGTATGTGTCAATTTTTCGGAACGGTAATCTTTATAGTGCCCGTTTTATTCATTTTTTATACACGTACAATGAACACAGTTGGGCCTGCATTACAGTCTATCCTTGTTTGGGATTGGGAAACACAGAAAAGTTACAGTGTCTGTTTACGGGTTTTTGGTCAACTCGTATGATCGTATCTAGGTCAGATCTTCTCCTACAAGTAAGAGCCTCGGTTAAACGTCCCTACGCTCCCTTATATACCTCGGAGCGCCAAGTCAAAAGTATATCGCCGTGAACCTCTAGCATGTTGAGTAGATCAGATCAAACCCAATAGGTCAACTCATATTAATGAAACGACAAAATTCGTAACCAGGAGAATTGTTACAAGCTGACAACTCGTAACTTAACAATATTAACAACTTATTACCCCTTTTGAGGTAAACATGGTGAAATACGGACCCAAGACTTGGTCTACGAGGTGAAATAACCTGACCATAGATAGAATATTCTATCGTTAAAATGATAAATGTCCTACGGACCCTGCTTAACGATAGAATGCATTCCGTGTATTGTCTGTGTAGCAAAGAAAATACGGGAGATAACTCTAACTTAGTGCATTTACTATGAAAAATCCTGAGAGTTCTGAATGTCAACATGGTGTGTAAATTTGAAACGAGTAAAAAATGTTGGTGAAAAAGTGTTGAATTCTTCCATTATATGGATTAAATTTTTAGATGAAAGGTATTTACAGTCTCAAAAAGGTTTGTTATGATTAATTTGACTGTTATTTCCAATGCAACTTCATTAATTTTCTCCAAAATCATTTCAGAGCGATTCTGTAATTTTCTGCTATATTACTGGTATAGGGGAGGCATTCTAACTGTAGTGAGGGCCTGTCCCAAGACACAGTTAGATTATTCTAATTAACCTGACCAAGGCCACATAGTGGCCGAGGTCAGGTCTGGTTAGCAAGTCGTTCATGTCAAGGGTCCTTCTTTTCACCATGTGGAACTCATATGGGGTATCAATTGTTTTATTATACCGATAAGAAAATTATATATTATACACTTGAGTGCATGATATTGCATTACATTACCAATGTTTTTTGAATGGGATCTTGATTCGCTAGTGAAGTTGTTTATGCTGACTTCTGCAAGTCATGTAAGTTTTTGCATAATGATTTACTGATTAAAACAATTTTTGATTGACAGTAACATGCATTAAATTGTTATGCCCTGTTCACACGGAGAGTTTGATTCACAGTAAATTAATGCGAAGTAAATAATGTGAATTAAAATAATGCGAATTAAATTGTGTTCACACGACAGCTAATGCGAAGTAAACTAATGGGAATTAAAATTTTATTTCTACAGTAAGGCTATTCAGTAAGACTATTTTGACATCATTTTCAAATCACGTCACTTTATGCGCAGCAAACCCATATTACATTCTGTCATAGTGTCTATGCACATATCAGTGATTAACATAATTTTTCTTTGTTTTCCACTAAGAAATAGCATAAGTATCCATATCTATCCACAGACATATGGCGTGTGACTTAATTGTGCCATTACGCATGCGTCAAAATTTAATTCGAATTAGCTTCGTTTAGCGTTCACACGGAGCTAATGCGAAGTAATTTAATGTGCAGTTAATTAATTTGAATTAAACTAATTCGCATTAAATTCCCTGTGTGAACGCGGTTCAAATTTAATTTGCAGTAACTTATGTTTAATTCGAATTAAACTCTCTGTGTGAACAGGGCATTATAATTGAAGGTAACTTTTACTGAGCAAAATGAAAATCTGGCGCAGAATTTTACTATAAAGAAGAGCCAAGTCTGCATTTCCTGGAATTGAATTGTAACAAAATTTTCAAATGAATAAACAAATAATTTTTTTGACTTAAAGGCCCTAGATCTGTTGTATTCCATATCATAAACAGACAATGCAAATTTTATAACACACTTTTTTAACGTATAATCATTATTCTATGCATTAAGTCAGGGATCTATATACTAACGGGATAGGCATATCCTTCAGTGCCATGTTTACTCGCCCAAAACGTCACACACAACACTACAAGTTTTTCAAACTATGTTTATTCTCAGTAAAAAATTTGTTTTCTGATAAATGTAATCTGTTCTTTTTGTTTATTGGAATGGATATTTAATAAATTCTAAAGTATACATTGTAAAATAATCTAAATGTGAAGCAAATTACCACCAAATTTTGCATTCTCAGCCGATCAGGGGCATGTGTTGATTTAACATGTTTAAGTGATTCAAATTAAGAGATAATTATGGAATATTCCAAATTATTGACTCAATGAAATTGATAATTATTGACTCAATGAAAATGATAAATTTATTATATACCCCTTTACAACTAGCAAAATATAATGAAATGAAACTTTTAGGATCAATTACATAACTTTTATCCGTTAAGCAAACCATTTTATCAAGGAACTTTTTGATCCGTGAGAATAAAAACAGCATTTATCTGTGTCAACTCAAAACCGTATATGTTTGTATGTTAACATGTTAAGATTTGAATTGCCTTGGGTACGACTTGACTACGGCCATACGACATTGGGTGGCAGGGGATAGTTTCATACTATAGTACGCGCTGTCAAATTTCTTTAAAAACTGAGGTATCCCATGATTGATGTGATATTTTATGTAGAAAAATGAATAGAATAATTATGTGGATACATGTACATGTGCAGTGTAGCAGAGCTTGCTGAGAAAAATGATGTGCATCATGTAGGTGTCACTATGATGCTTAGCATATATAGAGTTGTAAATTACAAACTAAGACATTTGGTCAGTTGCAGAGGAAATTCAGCTGAAAAGCAGTGGTGTGCATCTCAGAGGGAAGGTGAATGGCCCCAGATCAATTGGTGAATTTTCATTAGGGCATGCATTGTTCTACAGAATACTGGGTGTTTTATCCTGCTCGATCGGGAATGGGATGGGTTGTATAGGTGCGACAGCGGCCCAAATCTTGGAAAAACAAGCCAAAATCTTTGGAGACCTCCAAGTGCATTTTCGGTACATGTGCACTTTAATATGTAGGTTACATGTTATATGTTGACACATTTTTTGAGTTATAGATATATGAAGTGCAATTAATTAGCACCCAAGAAACTGCCCCAAACTATCTGTTTTTATTGACCTCATGCATATGCCTACCCCCTCGGCACATGTTTGGCATTGAAAAGAAAAATTATCCCCTGCCACCTTGATAACAGATATGTGGAAATTAATTTTCTGTTTTTAGAACTTCATGGAGATTTGTCATCTATTACAGCAAGTATTTAGAATAAAATATATTTAAACCAAAATCATTTTTTAATGCCAACTTTTAGAGATCAAAGAGCGAGCCTAGATAATTAATTAGAATTTGTTAGTATGGTATTTCATTGTACATGTAAGGCCATTCCAAGTTTTTTCTATGTTTAGCGTCCGCGTGTGCCTTGGTTTTTTGACATCCCTTATCAAAAAAAAAAAAAACAAAACAAAAAACAAACAAACAAAATCAGGAGTCCTGAAATTGTTTATTCTGGTCGAAATCACTGAATTCTGTCAATTTTTGTCTACAATATGCCATATTTGGAATATTTTAAGCATTTTATACCTTGATTTTGCTGAAGAATAAATATTTCTACAAGAAAAATAGATTAATGGAATCATATCCTTTGCATGACATCATTTTTATGACTATAATGACTTGTGTTTTACTTTTTGGTTTGTGTGTTTTTTGCGAATAGGTAGGGAGGTATTTGAAAGATGGGTGGACGCTAAACATAGAATAAACTTGGAATGGCCTAAGGTAATATTTTCCATGCGCATCAATTTCATAAATCATTTTTCAGAGGAAAAGTTTGTTGCTTTGCCAGTGGATGTTAATATGTTGATTGGTGGCTCTGATTTTATTAGGTCACCTGAGTCACTCAGGTGACCTATTGCTACATGTATCTGTTTTCATTCAGGTGACCTATTGCTACATGTATCTGTTTTCATCCGTCGTCGTGCGGGTGTGGGTCTTGCGTAAACTTTTTTACATTTTCAACTACTTCTCAAGAACCACCTGGCCAATTTCAACCAAACTTGCCACAAAGTATCCTTGGGTAAAGGTAATTCAAGTTTGTTCAAATGAAGGGCCACACCGTCTTCCAAGGGGAGATAACTAAGAATTAGTGAAAAATTAATGGCATCTTTTAAAAATCTTCTTTTCAAGAACCACTGGACCAGGTAAGATGAAACTTATGTGGAAACATCTTCAGGTAGTGTAGACTCAAGTTTGTTAAAATCATAACCCCCAGGGGTAGGGTGGGGCCACAATGAACGATCAAAGTTTTACATTATAGGAATACATAGGAAAAATCTTTAAAAATCTTCTTCTCCAGAACCACTGGGCAAAGAAAGATAAAACTTATGTGGAAACATCCTCAGGTAGTGTAGATTCAAGTTTGTTCAAATCATGACCCCTGGGCAGGGGTGTGCAATTACAAAAACTAGTTACTAGCCTAGGCTAGTGGAAGTAACAAAGTTACTAGCTCAAGGTTGACAATCATCACTAGCCCATTAACTACCGAAAACAATACATGTATAAGTATAACAAAAAGGTAAAAAAAAAAAAAAAACATTGAAGTTGAAATAAATAAAACAAATAATGGTTTGCGCTATGTTATTGTCAGTTACTTCTCCCTATTTTTATCGAATATAATTGTCACTGAAACGACTGGCGATAGCAACACACAATACATATAGGTTGAAAAGAATTAAAGATTACGATTTTACAACAAAGTTAATTCGTACATCAATTCAGTCGATGTAAATATACGTATACTTTCGTTTCAGATTTACTAGCCCGACAGGCTAATGCAGTATAGATTTATGATAGCCCAACCTCTAAAATTGGTAGCCCTGGGCGTTGGGCAATGGTAATTGCACACCCCTGCCCGGGGCAGGGCAGGTCACAATGGGAGATCAAAGTTTTACATGGGAATACATTGGAAAAATCTTCTCCAGAACCACTGGGCCAAGAAAGATGAAACTGATGTAGAAATATCTTCAGGTAGTGTAGATTCAAATTTCTTAAAATCATGATCCCCGGGGAGGGTGGGGCCATAATGAACAATGAAATTTTTACATTGGAATACGTAGGAAAAATCTTGAAAAAATTATTTTCTCAAGAACAGCAAAGCCATGATTGGTTATATTTACATGGAAGCATCCTCAGGTAATATAGAGTGGGGCCACAAATTATGATCAAAGATTTACATATGAATACATTAGGAAAAATCTTTAACAATCTTCTCAAGAATAGCAAAGCCATGATTTGTCTTATTTATATGGAAGCATCCTTGGGTAATGTAAATTCAAATTTGTTCAAATCATGACCCCCTGGGGTAGGGAGGGGACACAACAGGTGATCAAAGTTTTAGTTAGGAATATATAGGAAAGATCATTTAAAAATTTTCTTCTCAAGAACAACAAAGCCATGATTAGTCATTTTAATACAGAAACATCTTCAGGTGCTGTAGATCACTAAATTTTCGGGACACTTCATTTTCGCGAGATAGTCACTGACTCCTTATTAGCGAGACAGAATATTCACGAAATGTGTTTGCTGTATATAATCTTTAGGAATACTAATATAAGCGAGAATGAAATTTTCACGAGCACACTGTCTCACGTAATTACGCAAAAATAAAGTTCTTGTGAATAAAAAGTGTTTTACAGTAGTGTAGATTCAAGATTATTCAAATTATGACCCTCGGGGGTAGGGTGGGGCCATATTAGAAAATAAAACTTATAGGAAAAAAATCTAAATGGGGGACAGATTAGAACTTAATTTATGAGTTGTTACTGAATATTAGACTAATTATTTCGATGATCATGATCATCCTATTTTTCTTGCTTTTGGGCAACAAATTAAGGTTTATTTTATACTCTATGGATCCTCTATGGATTGTTGTTTTATACTCACGTGACCGTTAAGGCCCTTGGGCCTCTTGTTATATGATACATCATGGATATCATTTAATTTCGATGACGAATACCAAGAGTGCAGACTGCAATGAACTTACAAACTAGAAAATCAGGCTTTCTTGCATTTTGTGGGGCCAGCCAAATGGCGCAGTGCACATTTTACACTAATACAGTGGCTATACAAGCTATAATTTGGGTCCATTAAAAATGAATTTGTAAATTTTTTCATTTGTTTACCGAATAAAATTATGAAAATGTTGTAAATCACACTTGAAATTGAACATGTGATTTAGATGGCAAATCATAATTATTGATTTTCGTTTGTGTCGGCATCCCGGTTAAAGTTTTAGGAGCAAGTCCATTCCCAAGTAACTATAAGCTGTACCTGCACCCAACTTACATGGATGATGCATCTAGGGATGGACAATACTAGACTTGCTTCAGATACTGGATCTGACCTAAATTTTTCTAGATGAGTGACCAGGTTAAAGTTTTTGGAGCAAGTCCATGTATTTCCAAGTAACTAAGCCCTACCTGGACCAAAGTTGCATGGAGGATGCACCTAGGGATGGACACTACCAGACTTGCTTTGGATGCTGGATCTAACCTTTATTTTCCAGATGAGTAATTATTAGCCTTACCAGAACCAAACTAGCATGGAATGATGTATCTAAAGATGGACACAAGAAGACTTGCTTTTGATGCTGAATCTGACCTACATTTTTCAGATATGTGACCAGAGTAATGTCTTTGGAGTAGCTCTATCACTATATGACATGTTATGACTAAACTTGCATGGATGACGAAACTAGGGATGGACACTACCAGACATGCTATGGATGCTGGAACTGACCTACATTTTTTTTATGAGTAAACAGTTTAAGTTTAAAGTTTTTGGAGCAGGTCTATTCCCATGCAACTATAAGTCCTACCTTAACCAAACTTGCATTGATAATTGATCTCACACAATATTGGTACAAGATTTACCTTACTTATAGATACACATTCATTAAGCTTTGTAATCTTTGATTACCTATGTTTATATGTTGATAAAAAAAAACTCAATAAACAGTTAAACTTTTTGTAAAAAGTATCACTAGTCAACCAAGAAACTTGTTTTCCCTTAGATTGAACACAAGTTTTGGTGGTCATTTGATTACAGGCAAAGAATTGATTAAAATTTTTAAAAAATCTTCTAATATTTGGTCGATAAAATATTTCAGGAGGGATCATTTCAATGACAAAACGAAAGGTTAACAATGGTTTTCAAAAGGGTGTCAATTTCATTTGTTATCCTCCAAAACAGGCAACATTTATATAGTATGTTATGAATTAAAGCTTATGTATTCCCTGATCACATCTGTTTTCAGAGAAGACGAATGTCACCTTCGTCAAAAGCAGATTTTTACTGCCAGGCTGGCTTTGACCAAAAAGGATTTGAGATCAAATTTATATCAGACTATAAAAATAAGTTTATATTATTAATTTACTCTCAACATCTGTGGTTTTGTTTTGTAAAGTGGATGGATGTAGAAAGAATAATATTGCTTGAATTTCATATTTTTTCATTACATGATTATAATTTTATATGCTCTTAATTTATAGTTTTGTGCAAAAAAGTTAAAATCCAGATTGATCTGTATTTAAATTTAAGTTTGTATATTTTTTCCAAAAAATATTTTTTGTATAATTTTTAACATAAATGATGTTTAAACAAATTGGAAATACTGGGACTGATTCTAGAATAATCCCCTAGTTACAATATGATGTCACACAAAGACACATTTAGCAGAAGACTTATACCTGGAAAATAAGATCTCAGAATCTGAATTGATAAATTTTTTTGTAATATTTTGTGTCTATAAGTAAGTCTTTTATTGAACCTATTTGACCAAAGTGAGCATCGTGGCCGTTGGGCCTCTTGTTTGAAGACAGTTTTAATTTTTAAAAGGTGATGTTGAATCTAAATGCTTTGATGTTTTAGACATCCAAATGGCTAGCTCAGATGTGGAAGTGGAATCGGACCCTTTTAGTCGGGAATTCAATGGGAAATTCATTTGACAGTGATGATGATGATGAGATTAATTCAGGTAATATATATAAATATAATTATACAAGTTGCACTACCCAGTCTGCTGTTAAGCTAATTTCATGATAATGTCATAAAGAGGGATTTAATATTTATCATGTTTATTCACATGTTTTTGGACACAAACTATTTTTTTTTATGTAATGCCACCATCAGTATCAATACTTCATAAAGATAGGCTTCACCCAGTCTGACTATTAAGCTAGATTTATAAAAAGGTTATGAACAAGGATATATTTTCATCAAGGAGCAGTGGTCTAGCTTCCACTTGTTGCAGTGTCTCCTAAATTGTGCACATCATTGAAGAACCATTTATAAAATTTTCAAATCAATCAGCCAGAACATTGTTATAGCAAACATGCTTAAAATGAATTTATATGCTTACATTGAAGTGATTTCCTTCCCCATAGATTTAAAAGTGTTGTAAATGGAAAGTTTTTATTTAAAAAGAATTAAATATTTTGGTCCCCGGCTCTTTGCTATTGTAAGCATGTTTTACTGTATTATTCCCTGTTGTTTGAATAATTAATTTATCTTCATTTTGTGTGATGCCATTTTAACCATATCTACTAGTGTTGTCAATGAGTACCTGGTTAACCGGTTAATCGGCGAACAATGCGAGTATCAGATAGTAAAACTGCTACTCAGTTACTCGGATATATAGACAAAAGTAGAAAAGAAATGTTATTTTGTTCAGAAATGAATGTACACCTGTACCATTTTATTTACCGTTATTTAACGTTAGACTTGATCTAGCGTTTCACAAACATGACCGATTTGTTTCGATAACACTTAGTTTTCACAGTTTATCTAATTGATGGCTTTGATTGCCAAGCGGTATACAATGTAGAAAACCTGGGTTAATTATAATTAACTCACTTATACTGTGCAAGTCAGCGGTACAGGATTAATTTTAAACAAGATGCCTCCACAGCCATCAAAAGCATAGATTCCGAAATGTTTTAAAAGAATTTAAATCCGAAAGGTGTAAAATATGTAAAATGAAATTAACATACACAGAAACAAAACTAAAATAACATTATATTTAGGACATCCGCAAAAATTGCCAACTATCACAGGATATTCAAGAACAAATTCATTTAGAAGCTTTATTTTGTCTTTTTGTAATTAAAAATAAATAAATGAAATGCATCTACAGTGCATTTGCATTTGATATTGGCCAGTATGTAAATGTTAAACATGGAAATTGTAATGACGTTACATATGTTACAGTTATTATTGAATACATACCATGAGCAAGGATGTTTAAAGATCTAAAAAAAAATCCATCCGTGTAACCGTTTACTTGATCGGAAAAGTAAGCGAGTAACCGGTTACTAAAAATTGTCCGATTTGACAACACTAGTATCAACACATAATTATAAGATTGGATGCTGCTCGGTTCGGATGGCCAGAGTCATTTTTATGACATAATTGAAGACATATTACTGGCATTTTGTTTTTCTCACATTACTTGAATTCTTGGTTGTCTACAACAAAAATATTTAAATTGATATTTGTAACAGAGATTTAATTTGCAAATTTAAAAATAATGTTACAGTAGTTAAGAACTGGAATTAGTATAAAAGTAAGAAGAACTGGTATACATAGCTAACACAATGAAGCATCAGCAAAGTATTGAAATTATAAAGAGTAAGAATCAGAGTGAAATGTATTGAGCATGGATATGAAAAGAAATGACATACTGTTATGAATGAGATTGAGTGGCCTTTTGCTTTTCTAGTTAAGGATTTTCCAAAACACTGATTGATTTGTATTTGAGAATAAATTGTAGTATTCTTATGAGATGCAAATCCAATTTAAAAGCTTCATCACATTAAAGACAGACTGAATTA